CACGGTCAAGAGGACACGAAAAATTAGCAAGCAACAGAGGTGACCTTGGTTTGCTCACCCCTGAAAACACTTAAGCCCATTAAGTGTGTTCCTGGAAACCTCTTGCCCTGCGCTCTCCAGTGGCGCTTCCCGTCTAGTTAACTTTCCCGCTGCCTTTGTTCTTATTAATTGGCTTTTCAACGAGGGCTGGGGCAACGGAGCCCGTTGACCTGCTAATGAGCTGGCACAGGCCGGCTTGAGCTGTTTGGACGCCTTGGAGAACTTTCAGTGGAAAAGGAAAGGAAGGAAGCTCTAATTACAACCGCCAGATCCATATAATGAGCCTGGGAAAGAGGAGGTGGTTAACCCAGTCCCTGCTAGAGCACCCAGAGGCTCATCCAAAGGTACAGGAGGGCATCAGTTTTGCGGTCGCAGCTATGTGACAAAAAATGGGAAGGTGGGAGGGTACTGAACATTGTTGTTGTTTAGTCATTTAGTCGTGTCTGACTCTTCATGACCCCCTGGACCAGAGCATGCCAGGCACTCCTGTCTTCCACTGCCTCCCGCAGTTTGGTCAAACTCATGCTGGCCGCTTCAAGAACACTATCCAACCATCTCGTCCTCTGTCGTCCCCTTCTCCTTGTGCCCTCCATCTTTCCCAACATCAGGGTCTTTCCCAGGCAGTCTTCTCTTCTCATGAGGTGGCCAGAGTATTGGAGCCTCAGCTTCAGGATCTGTCCTTCCAGTGAGCACTCAGGGCTGATTTCCTTCAGAATGGAGAGGTTTGATCTTCTTGCAGTCCATGGGACTCTCAAGAGTCTCCTCCAGCACCAGAATTCAAAAGCATCCATTCTTTGGCGATCAGCCTTCTTTATGGTCCAGCTCTCACTTCCATACATCACTACTGGGAAAACCATAGCTTGAACTATACGGACCTTTGTCGGCAAGGTGATGTCTCTGCTTTTTAAGATGCTGTCTAGGTTTGCCATCACCTTTCTCCCAAGAAGCAGGCGTCTTTTAATTTTGTGACTGCTGTCACCATCTGCAGTGATCATGGAGCCCAAGAAAGTAAAATCTCTCACTGCCTCCATCTCTTCCCCTTCTATTTGCCAGGAGGTGATGGGCCCAGTGGCCATGATCTTCGTTTTTTTGATGTTGAGCTTCATATTTTGCGCTCTCCTCTAACTTTAGGAATGGGCTTAGATTTTTTTTTATCTTAAGATTTTATTTGCACTTTGTCACTCAGTGATTATAGTCGTATTCTACAGTACGGATGACTTCCCATTCACCCAGCCTCAATGTTTATAATTATGATTACATACAATTGCAATTTTTAAAAAATCTATCATATCCAGTTTCATCCTTTAATTTTTTTTTTATTAAAGGTTTTCAACCTAACATACCATAAAATTCCAACTAAAGAGACTAAAGTCATACCTTGTGTTGCGTTTGCTTCAGGTTGCGCGTTTTCAGGTTGCATCCCGCGGTGACCTGGAAAGACCAGAAAGGGTTACTTCTGGGTTTCACCGCTTGTGCATGTGCAGATGCACAAAATGACATCGCGCGCATGCGCAGATGCGGCGAATCGCGACCCGCGCATGCACAGACGCACAGACAAGGTTTGTGTTCTGCTCATGTTGCAAATGGGACTCCGGAACGGATCCCGTTCACAACCAGAGGTACCACTGTAATAAAAAAACAAACACTGTACCAAAAAACTAAAGAGAAAAACAAAACAGGAAAGAAAAGTTTCATCCTTTTAAACATATTTCTTGCTATGTTCTGCTATTTTCGTTCTTAGACCTTAAACCCTGCTGTAGACTTTGCATCTTCATCAGCCATTCTTCTCTGGTTGGAACTTTATCTTCTTTCCATCTCTGGGCCAATAGTATCCTCGCAGCTGTCATCCCGTACATGAAAAGTCTTTTCTGCTCTCTTGGAATCTCTGTACCTAAAATGCCTAATAAAAAAGCCTCTGGTTTTCCCCCCACAAATGTTATTTAAACATTTTCTTCAATTCATTATATATCATTTCCCAGAATGCTTTGGTTATCTTGCACATCCACCACATATGCCTTCTTTTTCTTTACATTTCCAGCAAACATTAGAAGCAGTTCAATACATCTTTGCTAATTTTACTGGCGTTAAGTACCATCTATACATCATTTTCGTATAGTTTTCCTTCAATGCTCAGCACGCTGTAAAATTTAAATCTCCCTTCCATAATTTCCCCCAAGATTGAATGTTATGCCCAATATCTTGTGTCCCAAAGCTTGGGAACCTTCAGGGGAGATGGCTTAGAACAAAAAAAAACAAAACAAGTTACATTCACACATCAGCAGGAATGCAAATCTTGGGCTTGATCCAGGCCTAGTTTTAGCTCAAAAGAGATCCCCCCTCTTCCCCTCCCCCTGATTGCTATGTACTGAGTTGAATAGGATCCAAAAGGCAGCAGTCTGATTGGTCCTAGAACAATAGGGTCCAGAATGCAGCAGTCTGGTTGGTCCACAGGAGCCACCCAATCCAGCTCCAGGTGGAAGTGAATCTGCAACCTGATTGGCCTACAGGAGAATCCCGGAATTAGCCAATCACGTGGGGCCCATTGTGTAAATAATGTATATAAAGCAGACATTCTGGGGGAACTTCCATTCCTCCTCACCACTATGAGCTGAATAAAGAGCATGAAATCCACTCTCGACTCCATGTATATTTCACTGATGAAAACTGCTAGTAGAATTGCTTCCAGGAAGATGGAGTGATGGGTTTCTAGGCAAAAGAGGAGTGAAATTTTACCTGCTGCACCTGTTTGGGCCTGGGGAAGAAGTGATGGATGTTCCACAAAGATCTCTATGCCACACACACAATGACATGCATGCAAACCTCTCAAGCATCTGGGCCGTCACGGGACGACCAGGCTGTTGTTTGTGCTGGCAGCCGCCCTGGGGAACCTGAAACCCACAAGCTTCACGTTCCAGGCTGAGGCCCCCTCCTGCTCCTTAGCTGACAAAGACGTAACCCGTTTTGGTGGGCGCAGGCGATCTCCCACCACCCTCTCCGCAGGGAGTCGCTTTCCTTCTGCGCAGAAGGAGGCGAGTCACAGAGAAAGATACAATACGATAATCTTTATTGTCATTGTGCCATACAGAACAATGAAATTGAAAAATCTACATCAGACATTCAAAAACCAACAAGCCTGCTATCCCAGCTATCCCAGCCTGGTTAGCCCCCTAAAAACTCTGATACCCCATAATTAAATACAATATACTCCCATAGAGACTCCTTATACTGCATTTAAAACCAAAATCGCATTTGGGTAGAAACAGTTTCTCAGGCGGCTAGTCCTAGTCTTTATAACCCTGTACCTTCTTCCAGAAGGCAGAAGCTGAAAGAGATCATTTCCGGGGTGCGTACTATCATGTGCTATCTCTGCCGCTTTCTTATGGCACCTGGAAGCATAGATTTGATCTAAGGTGGGAAGAGTGCACCCAATTATTCTCTCCGCAGTCTTTACAACCCTGGATAGCATTGTTTTTTCCCTGGCCATGCAGCTCCCAAACCACACACACAGACCATAAGTTAGTACGCTCTCCACAGTGCAATGGTAGAATGCCATCAACAGGTCCTTTGAGAGATTGTTTTTCCAGAGGATTCTCAGAAAATATAACCTCTGCTGTGCTCTCTTCATTAGGTCTTTGCTGTTTTCTCCCCAGGTTAGGTCATCTCTCAACTCCATTCCCAGAAATCGAAACACCGAGACCTGTCCCACGCACTTCCCCTCAATAATAAGTGGCTGAATATTCAATTTACATTTCCTAAAGTCCGCAATAATCTCTTTTGTTTTCTTTAAGTTAAGGAGTAAGTTGTTTTTCCTGCACCACTTCCCCAACCACTCAACCTCTTAGCAGGAGTCTGGGCATCTTCCTTTCGAACGACACAGGAGAAATGGGTGGGCACAGGTGGAAGAAGCCGGAAGAAGCCTGCAATTGCCACTGTTTAGCATAGTCATGATGGACTACATCAACGCCAGGAAATGGGAAAATATGTCAATTTCATTTCTCTCTCCATTTTCCATTTTCATGTTTTTACCTTGGTTTGAGAACTTTTTTTAAACCACAATTTCTCTCACCACCAAAGGAACGCAAGCGAATAGCAAAGAGAACCTGCGCAAACGACGCTGACACAAAAACCCACACATACATTAAGCAAAATAGAAATATCGCCTCCCGACCCCATCCCCACGCACCGTGGCCCCCCTCCACCTCTTCTCCCCTTTTTTTCTTCCCAATGTAACCCTAATGTCTCAACAAATGAAACTGAGCTATGGAAAATGTAACCTGGAAAAAGAGACATTGTGCATACCTTTGTAAACCAAGAAAATTATATATATATATATATATATATATATATATATATATATATATATCCCCTCATGAAAACCCACTTGAAGTGTGTCTTTTTCCAAACAGACACAAATTTTAAGCCTAATTTTTGCCTAACAGAAACTACTGTACTTTTCCGTGTATAACACGCCCCCGTGTATAAGAGGGCTAAAAATTAAGAAAATGAGTTGTTTAGCTTTTTTGCGGGGAGGATTGCTCAGAGTTGTTGAACATTTTTGGGGGAGGGTGCCCCACATTTTTTTTAGCTTTTTAAAGGGGGGATTGCCGAAAATCACTCACCTGCCTGGCCGATGCTAACACTCGCTCGTGTTGCAACAGCATCCTAACATCTGTCCCCTCACCGGCAGAAGCAGCTTATTGGCTGCCCAATTGCTGCAGCTACACCCAATCACAACCACCTCTTGCCACAGACACCAACAACACGTTGCAGACCACCTCCGGCTCACGGCATCAACCAATTCCACGTCCATCCTAGGCAATACTCATGTATAAGATGACCCCCTATTTTAAACATAATTTTTCAGTAAAAAAAACCTAGTCTTATGTACGGGAAAGTATGGTATTTTTCAGTATTTTTATTGTTTCATATACGTGCTCATTGTTGATTTGTGATTCCTGCTGTTGTTTAGTTGCCTAGCTTAGTTTGGTAGAGCATGAGACTTAATCTCAGGGTTGCGGGTTCAAGATTCCTGCATTGCAAGGGATCAAACTAGGTGATCCCTTGGACCTCTACAATTCCATGATTCTATTGTTTTGAGATGCTTAACAGAGAGCAATGCAGATATGGATTTCAATAATTTGTTGTTAGCATCAAGATTTAGGATCTGAGTTTTCCTTCTCCTAGAGTTCACCTTCCTTTACCATGTATACAGCAGAGCCATCATCTTCAAAACAACTGTCCCAAGCCTGGAATTATACGTGATAATCTGACAATGCCGATATCCTTTACGTTGACTTTATTATTTTTAAAAGGTAAAGGACCCCTGACTGTTAAGTCCAGTCGCGAACGACTCTGGGGTTGCTGCGCTCATCTCGCTTTACTGGCCGAGGGAGCCAGCGTACAGCTTACGGGTCATGTGGCCAGGAGGACTGAGCCGCTTCCGGCAAAACCAGAGCAGCGCACGGAAACACCGTTTACCTTCCCGCCAGAGTGGTACCTATTTATCTACTTGCACTGGCTTGCTTTCGAACTGCTAGGTTGGCAGGAGCTGGGACCGAGCAACGGGAGCTCACCCTGTCGCAGGGATTAGAACCGCCGACCTTCCGATCGGCAAGCCCAAGAGGCTCAGTGGTTTAGATCACAGCACCACCCGCGTTATTTTAACCCGTGTGCAAATGTGCTCATTTTACACCCCTATATTATACCTATGTTTTGCATCTTTTAATTTTCATCATAGTTATCGCTCTCCTCTCTTATAAAATGAAATTGGTGGGGGGGGGGGAGCCTTTACTGCACGAAGAATAACAATAAGCAAGCAGATGACTTCCTTTTGAGAGTGGGCTGTCCTCTGACAGTCCTTCAGGGATAGAGGATTGTCTTCCATGAAATGGCCACCCAGCAATAGATTGAGGCTTGCTGGGGGAAGAGAGCAAGGACTTGCGTCCATTTGTCACAGAGACGGCACATTATGGGCAGCCTTCCAGGCCTCCTGTTCCCTGTCCCTTGATGGACAATCCTTTCCTTAAAAAAACAAAGATTAAAAATGACCTTGTAAACGGCGTGAGGCTTGCAGGATTAGGAGCTGGTTTCAAAAAGGAAAACAGCAGGTCCCTGATTTACGGCCTGCTTCCTTTTGACGCCTTGGGACAGTGCCATGGTCACCCCGAGGCCTGATACCGCCTAATTCTTTGGCATTTATTAGCCGCGAGGAGCACATTTGGAAGGGATCAGTTCATCATCCCCTTCCTTGCCAAAGCAGCGGCCCTGTATATCTATAACATATCGGTGTTGACAGTTCTCCTGCTGGTGACCTTTGGCCAAAAACCACTGCCAGGTGACACTGTGTTGGTTGGTTTTTTTGTGGGGTGGGGAATGGCGTAGAAATTATAAACTGGAAAGTCCCCTTCGGCCATCTGCTCCAGACGCCTGTCAGTGTTAAAATACAAGGGATATATATATATAAATTTGAAAAAGTGGTGGGAATGGGTGATTGGCTGATAGGTGTGGTAAACCTGTTGATGACTGTTAACGACTGCAATTGCTCTTACAGGAAAAAGCAAGGGATGAGATGGCCAAAAATAGTTTTATCATGTATCATGAGATAAGAATCCAATGTCTCTATTCCAGGGGTCAGCAAACTTTTTCAGCAGAGGGCTGGTCCACTGTCCCTCAGACCTTGTGGAGGGCTGGACTATATTTTGAAAGGAAAAAAGAATGAATTCCTATGCCCCACAAATAACCCAGAGATGCATTTTAAAGAAAAGCATACATTCTACTCATGTAAAAACAGCTGATTCCTGGACTGTCTGCGGGCTGGATTTAGAAGGCAATTGGGCTGGATCTGGCTACCTACCCATGGTTAGGCAAACCTAGTTTGCCTACCCATGCTCTATTCAGACCAGGTCTCTCCATGGTTTTAAGTTTGATAATAAGTTGTAATTCAGAGACTTCTCTTTCCAGTCTATTTCAGAGATTCTTTTGTAATATGACAGCTACTTTGAGATCTTGTATAGAATGTCCTGGGAGATTGAAGTGTTCTCCTACGGTTTCAACAGTCTAAAAAATCAACAGTCTAAAAAATAGCTTCTGTCCGTTAGCTGTTAGGCTGTTGAACGGAAAATAACATAGGGAAATTGACTTGTGAGGTGGTTGTGTTGTTCGATAAGAGATTGAGTATTTTTTTTGGGGGGGAGGGAGGCTCATTTAATTTCATTGTACACAGGTTGTACGATGACAATAAAGGTATTACAGTAGTACCTCGGGTTACAGACGCTTCAGGTTACAGACTCCACTAACCCAGAAATAGTACCTTGGCTTAAGAACTTTGCTTCAGGATGAGAACAGAAATCGTGCAGCGGCGGCAGTGGGAGGCCCCATTAGCTAAAGTGGTGCTTCAGGTTAAGAACAGTTTCAGGTTAAGAACAGACCTCTGGAACGAATTAAGTTATTAACCCGAGGTACCACTGCATTATTATTATTATATTATTATTATTATTATTATTATTATCATTCCCACACAAATCCCACACAGGAATGAAGGTTGGATGCAAAGCTCTCTTCTATCAGTCGTCACACACCTGTACCTCTTTTCAGCCGTCCACAACAACAGCATCAGATGTGATGTGGGGCATCATACACTCAGAACCACCCCATCCCAAGATGGAAATCTTGCTGAGACTGTAGACGACATTCTGGATGACCAACACAACCCACAAGGGAACACAGTCCCCAAGCTCAGTCCTCGCAAATGTGCTTTTCTTATACGATCACTTCTTTGCAAATATTTTGATTTTGTGCAGAGACCTATAAATGACCCTTTATTGGGCTCCCTCGGGCCCCTGTTTATGGAACCGAGGCTGATGTTTAAGGTGCCCCAGGGCCAGCTGCCCCTCTAAGCACCATCCTGCTAGAGTGAACATGAGCCGAAAGAAAGCATGCCTAAGGAATGAGGTTTTCCCAGCAGAAACATCGCCGCTGCGGTGCAATTCGTCCCCTCTCTCCACCTCCCTCCTCCAAAACATTTGAATAGTGAGCGTCTTCCCAGTTGCGCTTCTTTTCCTGCATCCAGGTCAGTAAGCAAACTGCTCACCAAAAAGTTTCCACTCTAACTGGAGGTGCATTCAAGCCCTCCTCAGCCCAGAAATGAAAAATAGTCAGATCATGGACTGCCTTCCCTCCTGGGTAACTTTCTGGGGTAGGGGACATGGCATTTACCTTTCCCACCCAGACCAGGCCACAGTGATCCATACGACGGTCACCTCCAGGCTTGACTACTGTAATTCACTCTACGCAGGGCTGCCCTTGAAGCTGTCCCAGAAACTCCAGCGGGTGCAGAATGCTGCAGCGAGGCTCCTCACGGGGTCTCTGCCATGGGAGCATATTCACCCAGTGCTTTTCCAGCTGCACTGGCTCCTGGTGGAGTACAGGGTCAGATTTAAGGTGCTGCTTTTGACCTTTAAAGCCCTTCACGGCCTAGGACCCTCGTACCCATGGGACCGCCTCTCCTGGTATGCCCCACGGAGAGCCTCAAGGTCCATAAAAAGCAACACCCTAGTGGTCCCAGGCCCTAAGGAAGTTAGATTAGCTTCAAACAGAGCCAGGGCCTTTTCAGCTCTGGCTCCGGCCTGGTGGGATGCTCTGTCTCATGAGACCAGGGCCCTGCAGGATCTGATTTCTTTCCACAGGGCCTGAAAGACAGAGTTGTTCCGCCTGGCCTTTGGCTTAGAATCAGTTTGATTCCCTCCGCCTCTTTCTTTTTTCTTTTCCTTCTCCTCCTGCAATGAGGCTACATTTTAATATTCTGTCTCAATATTTTAATGTTGTATTTTAATTTTGTTTTTAAGTTGTAATCATTCAACTTGTTTTTATTATTGCTTGTAAGCCACCCTGAGCCCGGCCTTGGCTGGGGAGGGCGGGGTATAAATAAAAATAATTATTACAGTGGTGCCCCGCAAGACGAATGCATCGCAAGACGGAAAACCCGCTAGACGAAAGGGTTTTCCGTTTTGGAGGTGCTTCGCAAAACGAATTTCCTATGGGCTTGCTTCGCAAGACGAAAATGTCTTGCGAGTTCCTGCGGGGTTGTTTTCGTTTCCCCCCCCTTTTTCCCAAGCCGCTAAGCTGCTTATCAGCTGATCCGCTAAGCTGCTAAGCCGCTTAACAGCTGATCGCTAAGCCGCTTATCAGCTGATCCATTAAGCCACTAAGCCGCTTATCAGCTGATCCGCTAAGCCGCTAAGCCGCTTAACAGCTGATCGCTAAGCCGCTTATCAGCTGATCTGCTAAGCCGCTTAACAGCTGATCCGTTAAGCCACTAAGCCGCTTATCAGCTGATCCGCTAAGCCGCTTAGCCGCTTATCAGCTGATCCGCTAAACCCGCTAAGCCGCTAATAGCGCTAATCCGCTAAACCGCTAATGGGCTTGCTTCGCAAGACGAAAAAACCGCAAGACGAAGAGACTCGCGGAACGGATTCTTTTCGTCTTGCGAGGCACCACTGTATTATTAATGAGCAGTGGCGTAGCGACGGTTGCTGGTGCCTCGGGCGCATGCATGAATGCAAGTGGGTGCCAGCCCAGCCCTTGCTGCTGATGCCGCCACAGTGATCCCACCTTCACTGGAGCAAAGTGGGGCTGCACTGAGGCACCCGCCTGCCTGCTGATGTGACTCTTTTTGGGCGTGGAGAGGAGCACTGGACCTGGCTGCATTGGGGTTGCCTGCATGTGGGCACCTTCAAAAAGTGTGTGCCTGGAAACATGGGCCCACGGAAACCCCCACACTACACCCTGGACACTGAGACCCAGCGCTAATGGCCCCCTGGTGGTTCCCTCACTGCAAAAATGAGGTTATAGGGAACCAGGCAGAGGGCCTTCTTGGTAGTGGCACCCACCCTGTGGAACGCCTTCCCACCCATAGCTGTCAACTTTTCCCTTTTCTTGCGAGGAATCCTCGCATTCCCTGAGTTAAGGGAATAAGGGAATAAGGGAATTTCCCTTAAAAAAAAGGGAAAGGTTGACAGCTATGCTCCCACCAGATGTCAAACAGATAAGCCACTATCTGACTTTTAGAAGACATCTGAAGGCAGCCCTGTTTAGGGAGGTTTTTAACGTTTGTTGTTTTATTGTGTTTTTAATATTCTGTTGGAAGCTGCCCAGAGTGGCTGGGGAGGCCCGGCCAAATGGGCGGGGTATAAATAATAAATTATTTTTATTATATTAAATGTTCACATTGTTCAGTAGGCCAGTTTCTACCCTTACCCCCAAAGAATTCTGGGAACTGTAGTTTGCTAAGTGTGCCAAGAGCTGTTAGGTGATTCCTATTCCCACCACAGGGCAATTTCCAGAGCGGATTAGCAATCAATCCCTCTTCATAGGGAGCTCTGGGAAAAGTAGTTCTGTGAGAGGAATAAGGGTCTCCTAACAACTCTCTGCACCCTTAACATACAGTACTACAGTTACCAGGATTCTTTGGGGGACATCATGGCTGTTTACAATGGCATCACAGTGTGGTGTGAATATGGCCTTAGGACAACTTGCAGTTGGAGCAGTGCTCTTTCTTTTTTCTTCTTCCTCCTCCTCCATCTCCTCCTCTTCCTGTTCTTCTTCTTCTTCCTTCTCCACCTCCTCCTCCTCCTCTTCCTCTTCTTCTTCCTTCTCCACCTCCACCTCCTCCCCCTCCTGGTTCTTCTTCTTCTTCCTTCTCCACCTCCACCTCCTCCTGTTCTTCTTCTTCTTCCTTCTCCATCTCCTCCTCCTCCTCCTCCTCCTCCTCCTCCTCCTCCTCCTCCTGTTCTTCTTCTTCTTCCTTCCCCACCACCTCCTCCTCCTCCTCCTGTTCTTCTTCCTACCCCACCTCCACCTCCTCCTCCTCCTCTTCTTCTTCTTCTTCCTTCCCCACCACACCTCCTTCTCCTCCTGTTCTTCTGCTTCCTCCTTCTCCTCCTTTTCCTCTTCCTCCTTCTTCCTCCATCACCATCTCCTTCTCTTCCTCTTCTGCTTTCTCCTCCTCCCCTCCTCTTCTGCTTCTGCTTCCTCCTCCTCCTCCTCTTCCATCTTCCTTCTCCTCCTCCTCTGCTTCTGCTTCATCCTGCTCTTCTTCCTCCATCTCCACCACCTCCTCCTCCCCTCTCTCTAGATTTCCTGCTTTGATCAGACAGTTGGTCTAGATAGCTTACAAGGTCCCCTCGATCTCTTATGATGCATGAAGCAACTGTCAGCACATCTAATTGTTCCCTAGCTGAACAACATCCTCTGTCTCAAATGCAATTTACTTCCCTTCCCCCCCCCACTTGATACCCGCAATGTTGAGCAAAAGTGCTTGTAAGAGGCCTCACATCCTTTGGTGTAGGCACGTCTGATGAATGGTGGCTTGCTTTTCTTGCAAGAGACAGGCAGAAAGAACATCCTCAAGTCCATTAGCACTGCTGGTGGATGCCTAGCAGGAAACTCCACCACTGGTCCTTGTGATTAGCAAGTTTATCATTCCTCCCCGCTCCTCTGTGTTTACTCATCTCACATCCCCATCCTCCTCTGTGTGGCTGAATTTATCTAAGGAAGTTACACTCACTCTGCTTGAATCATAATGCGCTGGTCCCTAGGGAGCATACCCCTAACAATTTCTACTCAGAAGGAAGTCTTTTCGAATTACTTCCAGGTGAGTGAGGCTCAGACTGCAGTCTTAGTTGGATATCTATATCTGCCTCTCTAAACTATACTTTTCTCAGCATCATGCTGTAGTTCACATGGTCGCCAGTAGGTGGCCATGCCAACTCTATTATGATGAAAGAAGAGCAGGTAGACAGGTGAGCAAGTCGTGCTCAGACAACCTGCCGAGGAAGGTGTGGCACTGAAAGGGGGGGAGAAGAGATGCTTCAGAGAGCTGTTTGGCAAACCACCTTCTGAGGTCCTCCCCTTCTAAGTGTCACTGAAATGACATTTAAAGGGCGGTGGGGAGGCACTTCAGAGCGCAGTTTGCCCCTCCTCCATTCAGAAATCAGCTGCTTGGGTGAGCTGTGAGGGAAGGGGTTGGGTACAAGCTGTGGAGGAGTTCAGGAGTTGGCGATCAGAGTGAGCAGGTGTGGTAGATACCAGTATATATACTCACTTAAAGCATGACAGAGTGGTATGCAAATAAGCCTTCCTCCAGATATTAAATATATATCCCTACCCACAGACTAAACCACTAAGCCTAGGGCTTGCCGATCAGAAGGTCAGCAGTTCGAATCCCCACGACAGAGTGAGCTCCCGTTGCTCTGTCCCAGCTCCTGCCAACCTAGCAGTTCGAAAGCACACCAGTGCAAGTAGATAAATAGGTACCACTGTGCCAGGAAGGTAAATGTTGTTTCTGTGCGCTGCTCTGGTTCTCCAGAAGCGGCTTAGTCATGCTGGCCACATGACCCGGAAGCTGTCTGTGGACAAACGCTGGCTCCCTCGGCCAGTAAAGCGAGATGAGCGCCACAACCCCAGAGTCGTCTGCAACTGGACTTAATGGTCAGGGGTCCCTTTACCTTTAACCTTACCCACAGAAAACCAGCTATGTCAGAGTCAAGACTGGCCTTGAATTTTGTCCTGGACATTGGGAGGGGAGGAGTTGTATGGAGACCACTCAGTCCCATGAGTCCCACTTAAGTGCTCCGTTCCAAACAGTTGTGTAGCATGGGGGGGGGCACAGAAGCAGTTGCCCCAGGCACAAATTTGTTAGAGGGCGCAAAATTTCAACAGCTGCCACTGCCTCAATACAGCTGCACACTTCCGTTGTGGGCTCTCTTGAAAATGATTTCTCCGTGTGAACCAGAAAGTGTCCTCTCCAGACAGCAGAACAACTCTTCTTTTCTTATCTCTGCAACTGTGATCTCATGGGTGATGCGTATGCCGTAAGGCAGTAGAATGCGCATGCGTACTCCCTCCATTTCCCTCCCTCCCCCCTCTCCGCACTGCCCTGGGCGTTGGCAACCCACGCTATGCCACTGGTTCCAGATGGATGTTTACCACCTAAGTGATCCCTAGGTCTCTTTGCGAACAGCTTCCTAGCTCAAAGAGAAATCCCTGGAAGAGAAAGTTCAAAATCCAAGCTCTGAGACAATCCATCATCCTTGAGCTCAAATGCATCCTCAAAACCCTTGGAAAACAGCTTCTTTCCAAGTCAGATTTCATCTCAAAGCAGTGTCGGCTTCTTAATCAAGGCCCCTTGCTATTGGAGCTAATCCTTTTACTTCTCATTGACGATGTCTAGCTTTGAGGTTAACTGTTTTTAAGGCAAACACGGCCCCTTCCTTTCCTCTCACCCTTAACCTTTGCAACACGCACACAGAGGACCGTCTGCTAATATTTGTACAGCCCTCCACAACTGCAACTTGAACAGGCACCAGGGGCAGATGGGGAAGGGGGGTTGACCTCTGGCTTCCCAACAGGTGTTTACTTCTTCGCAGTCATAAAGGAGGCCAAGGAAATTCCCAGGTTAGAAATTAGAGCAGCACCAATTTTCTCTTTCCGCAGTTTGGTTTTTGTAGAGAGTGCTTCAAAACGTGAGTCAGTAATTATTATGAAGCCATGCCATTTAAATAAATAAACCCAGAAGAACTGGGCGCATCTAGGGTACCTAGAGAACCTGAAACCTCCCATCCTTGGAGGTTTAAAAGCAGAAGTTGGCAGAAGTTCACAGATGCTTTAGCTGAGATTCCTGCATTGCAGGGGGTTGGACTAGATAATCCTTGAGGTCACTTCCAACTCTACAATTCTATGATTCTAGGAAACCCTGATGTCAGTTAGTTAAAAAAGGTAAAGGGTAAAGGACCCCTGGACAGTGAAGTCCAGTCAAAGGCGACTAGGGGGTTGCAGCACTCATCTCGCTTTCAGGCCGAGGGAGCTGACGTTTGTCCACAAACAGCTTTCTGGGTCATGTGGCCAGCAGGACTAAACCACTTCTGGCGCAATGGGACACCGTGATGGAAACCAGAGTGCACGGAAATGCCGTTTACCTTCCCGCTACAGTGGTGCCTATTTATTTACTTGCACTGGCGTGTTTTCGAGCTGCTAGGTTAGCAGGAGCTGGGACAGAGCAAAGGGAGCTCACCCCATCATGGGGATTCAAACCGCTGACCTTCCGATCGGCAAGCCCAAGAGGCTCAGTGGATTAGACCCCAGTGCCACCCTCTCCCTTGCCAGTTTGTGTGGACAATACCAAGCCAAGTGAACCAATGGTCTGACTCAATAAAAGGCAGTTTCTATGTTTCAGTGGCCACAGGTGAGCCTCTTCTGTCATGAAACCCAACTTCTGTGCTTGGCTGGGATCTGTGCTTGGCTTCAACTTCTGTGCTTGGCTCGGATCTGATTTCTACTGATAGCATTTCCTGGGAGAACCTTATTTATTCCCGTTGATTTATTGCATTTATATACTGTGGTACCTCGGGTTAAGTACTTAATTCATTCCAGAGGTCTGCTCTTAACCTGAAACTGTTCTTAACCTGAAGCACCACTTTAGCTAATGGGGCCTCCTGCTGCTTCTGCGCTGTCGGAGCACGATTTCTGTTCTCATCCTGCAGCAAAGTTCTTAACCCAAGGTACTATTTCTGGGTTAGCAGAGTCTTTAACCTGAAGCGTCTGTAATCTGAAGCGTATGTAACCCGAGGTACCACTGTACCAAGGTGGTGTTCATGGTTTTCCTCCTCCTCCCCATTTCACCCTCACAATAATCCTGCGAGGCAGCTTAGGCTGAGAGACTGGCCCAAGGTCACCCGGTGAGCTTCAGTGCTGAGAGTCGGGATTCGAACCCTGGTCTCCCAGGCCGTACGTCTGACACTCTAAGCACTGCACCACACTCCTGCCTCAATTGTCCACAGATGAAAGAGGGAAGCAGCTATTGAAGGAAGAGAACTTCCTTCAACCTGGCTCACCTGTGCTGGAAGTCACTCCCCCAAAGTCCTCTCAACTTTGCACCCATCTCCATTTATGTCTAGTTCCTAAGCCCCGCCTCCCCAATGAGGTCAGGTGACAGCCTGGGCTCCACTGGGTCCTAGTTTCCTCCCTTCCTCCCCCACTCTCCCCAGCTGGCCGCCAGCTCCCCCCAGAAGTGACCCCTTTTGCTATGTCCGAAATACAATGAGGTCCCAAAAATACATTCGGCGTCATCCGTGCATCTGGCCCCGGCAGGTGGCAAGTAATCTATCTTCTGGGATCCTCCTGCCTTCGCCTTTTGTCACAAAGAGCATTCGTTGCCATAAATCACCGCGGTTTTGGCAGCGGCTGCAGAGCCACATCAACAAGCAATTTATTTGCCATCAGCGTGGCCCGATAAGCGCCGGCCCTTCTGACCGAGCGGTGGAATTCGGTTCCTCGAGGGTTTGAGGGTTGTCGACCTCAGGGTGTTTGTTCAGTACATCTGGAAAACTGGCTGGACAGGCGATTGGATACGACAGCTCCTTCTTAAAGCCGTCCTCCTCCCCAGGGAGACCGTAAGGGCTGTCAGGAACTTCTCCTGGCTCCCAGCGTAATCTGATGTGAAAACGGTTAATATGAAGCAGACGGTGACAAAAGGCATCTTGGCCCAGCCCTGGGAGCCCAGAAAGGCCTAGGCTGCTTTCAAACCATGTGTTTAAATACCACTTTAAACAGTCATGGCTACCCCCTGCAAAGGATTCCGGGACCTGTAGTTGGTTCAGGGTGGTCAGGAGGTCCCTATTCTTCTCAAGGGTCTGCAGTTCCCAGCATGGTATAACAACCACTGGGGGCCAAAAGTGTGATGCAGCAGCAAAAAAAGGCTAATGCTATTCCAGTACGTTTCTGAGCACAATTCAAAGTGTTGGTGCTGACCTTTCAAGCCCTAAATTGCCTTGGTCCAGTGTACCCGAAGGAGTGTCTCCATCCCCATCGTTCTGCCCGGACACTCAGGTCCAGTGCCGAGGGACTACTGGTGGTTCCCTCACTGCGAGAAGCGAAGTTACAGCGAACCAGGCAGGGGGCCTTCTCTGTAGCGGCATCTGCCCTGTGGAATGCCCTCCCACCAGATGTCAAACAGAACAACAACTACCAGACTATCGGGGTGGTTTAGAAATCACTAAGGGTCCAAAGGTCAACCATTAACACCCTGCGATCGACCAGTAGATCACGACCAGCCTGTTGGACATGCCTGGGATAGTTGTTAGAGTGTTGAACCTGGTGTGGAATCCAGTCAAAGCTCTTCTCCTTCTCCTCCTCCTCCTTCCTCCTCTTCCTCCTCCTCTTCCTACTTCTTCCTCCTCCTCCATCTCTTCTTCTTCTCCTTCTCCTTCTCCTTCTCCTTCTCCTTCTCCTTCTCCTTCTCCTTCTCCCTCTTCCTTCTTCCTCCTCCTCCTCCATCTCTTCTTCTTCTTCTTCTTCTTCTTCTTCTTCTTCTTCTTCTTCTTCTTCTTCTTCCCCCCCACACCTGGCTGGGTATCCCCAGCCACTCTGGGCAGCTTCCAGCAAAATATAAAAATAATAAACATTAAACATTAGGAAGTGAGAAAGTTGCATGAGCCACCTTGAGCTCCTTGGAAGAGATGTAGGATAGAAATGTAACAACGCATAACAAAGGAATGAATAGTATTGGACCAAGCATTCATTCAGGCTTCCTGAATTCTGAATCCCCAGATGTTGCACTGCAACTCCCATTGTCTGTCACCATTGGCCATTCTGGCTGAGGAGGCTGAAGGCTGAAGCCCAACAAGACCTAGAGATTCTAGTATCAGAAAAGCAGGTCTCCTGAGCCACCAGGAACCCAGGAAAACGATTTATACCGAACCAGACCACGGGTCCATGCATTGCCTACACCGGGGTTTCCCAAACTTTGGTCTCCATCTGTTTTTGGACTACGATTCCCATCATCCCTGACCACTGGTCCTGCTAGCTAGGGATGATGGGAGTTGAAGTCCAAAAACAGATGGAGACCCAAGCTTGGGAAACCCTGGTCTACCCTAACTGGTAGTGGCTCTTCAAGACTGCAGGCAGGGAACTTTCTCAATTCTACCTGCAGACACCAAGGATTGAACTTGCGACCTTCTGCAGTCAGTGCAGATGTCCTGCCACTGAACCACAGCCCTTTGCCATTCTGTTTTCCAAGTACAGTTGGCCAGATCCTTCTGAGAAACTCAAAGGCAGGGCACCGCTCCTGTTGGTTTGTCGCCCATCGTGTTGGTATATTGCCTCTACATCTGGAGGTTACAATGAGTAACCATGTCTAATAGCAACTGAGTTACTCATCTGCTTCCAAACGTTTGAGGATCAAAAGCTTTGAGGTCTGAAGCCACTCATTTGTTGTTTAGTCATTTAGTCGTGTCTGCCTCTTCGTGACCCCATGGACCAGAGCACGCCAGGCACTCCTGTCTTCCACTGCCTCCCGCAGTTTGGTCAAACTCATGCTGGTAGCTTCGAGAACACCGTCCAACCATCTCGTCCTCTGTCGTCCCCTTCTCCTTGTGCCCTCCATCTTTTCCAACATCAGGGTCTTTTCCAGCGAGTCTTCTCTTCTCCTGAGGTGGCCAAAGTACTGGAGTCTCAGCTTCACGATCTGTCCTTCCAGTGAGCACTCAGGGCTGATTTCCCTAAGAATGGAGAGGTTTGATCTTCTTGCAGTCCATGGGACTCTCAAGAGTCTCCTCCAGCACCATAATTCAAAAGCATCCATTCTTTGGCAATCAGTCTTCTTTATGGTCCAGCTCTCACTTCCATACATCACTACTGGGAAAACCATAGCTTGAACTATACAGACCTTTGTTGGCAAGGTGATGTCTCTGCTTTTTAAGATGCTGTCTAGGTTTGTCATTGCTTTTCTCCCAAGAAGCAGGAGTCTTTTAATTTCGTGACAGCTGTTACTATCTGCAGTGATCATGGAGCCCAAGAAAGTAAAATCTCTCACTGCCTCCATTTCTTCCCCTTCTATTTGCCAGGAGGTGATGGGCCCAGTGGCCATGATCTTAGTTTTTTTGATGTTGAGCTTCAGACCATATTTAGCGCTCTCCTCTTTCACCCCCATTAAGAGGTTCTTTAATTCCTCCTCACTTTCTGCCATCAAGGTTGTGTCATCTGCATTTCTGAGGTTGTTGATATTTCTTCCGACAATCTTAATTCTGGCTTGGTATTCATCCAGCCAAGCCTTTCGCATGAGGAATTCTGCATATAAGTTAAATAAGCAGGGAGACAATATACAGCCGTGTCGTACTCCCTTCCCAATTCTGAACCAATCCGTTGTTCCATATCCAGTTCTAACTGTAGCTTCTTATCCCACATATAGGCTTTTATAATTTCCAGCTATTTAGTGAGTTCCAAATGAAATGTTCTCTTGATGCTTACTATCCTACCCTCCCATGGACCCCCCCCCCATAAAAATGTTCACAGTCACAAGGTGAGCTGGCAGGTATTTATAAAACCACATACTCCCATCCTCTCCATGTCCTCAGTTATTTATGTACTGTACGCACTTCAGCATGGAAAAAGAGAGAGAGAGAGAGGTTGGTTTTTATAGCAGGTTTCTGTTGCCTTATAAAACGAAATAAGAATGTTATAGAATTTCATGCATCTGGAGTCCCGCATTGTGCTCTGGCTACCATCTGTTCCCGAAACTCCAGAGATCCTCTCGGGAGGCCTGGCAGGTTAACTGGGCCAGACGACAGCTTTGGAAATGGAGATGTTTTCCAAACGTGTTGTTTTGTTAAATTGTACACTGCTGTTCTCTCGGTGCCCTTTCTGGAATGAAGATTCCACAAAGGGTCGAGATGAGATGACTGACCTCATTGGGACTCCACTGTTCAGTTTTTTTATGAGTGGTGAAAAGGGGCTTCTGTTGAGAACACGTCTGGGTTTGGAAGACGTTCTTGTGGCACCATTCTCTATCCTGTCTTCTTAGCCTCATTCCTTCTACCCTCAGCCTCATTCCTTAGTCTTCACCGCCCTCAACTTCATTCCTTAGCCCTCACGCCCTCAGCATCACTTGCCCTCAGACTCATTTCTTAGCCCTCATTGCCCCAAACATCATTGCTTAGCCTTGGCTGTCCTCAGTCTGATTTCTCAGCTCTCACTGCCTTCAGCCTCATTCCTTAGTCCTCACAGCCTTCAATTTCATTCCAATTTCATCCCTCACTGCCCTCAGTCTCATTTCCCCTCAGCCTCATTTCTCAGCCCTCACTGCCCTCAGCCTCATTCTTTAGTCCTTACCGCCTTCAATTCCATTCCTTGGCCCTCACTGCCCTCAGTCTCATTTCCCCAGACTCATTTCTTAGCCCTCATTGCCCCAAACATCATTGCTTAGCCTTCGCTGCCCTCAGTCTGATTCCTCACCCCTCACTGCCCTTGGCCTCATTTCTCAGCCCTCACTGCCCTCAGCCTCATTCCTTAGTCCTCACCGCCTTCAATTTCATTCCTTAGCCCTCACTGCCCTCAGTTTCATTCCCCCCCCGACTCATTTCTTAGCCCTCATTGCCTCATACATCATTGCTTAGCCTTGGCTGTCCTCAGCCTGATTTCTCAGCCCTCACTGTCCTCGGCCTCATTTCTCAGCCCTCACTGCCCTCAGCCTCATTCCTTAGTCCTCACCGCCTTCAATTTCATTCCTTAGCCCTCACTGCCCTCATCCTCATTCCTTCATCCTTACTACCTTCAATTTCATTCCTTAGCCCTCACTGCCCTCAGTTTCATTTCTTAGCCGTCATTGCCCCAAACATCATTGCCTAACCTTTGCAGTCCTCAGTCTGATTTCTCAGCCCTCACTGCCCTCAGCCTCATTCCTTAGCCCTCACTGCCCTCAGTTTCATTTCCCCTCAGACTCATTTCTTAGCCCTCGCTGCCCCCAACACCATTGCAGAGCCTTCGCTGTCCTCAGTCTATTTTCTTAGCTCTCACTGCCCTCAGCCTCATTTGTCCTCACTCTGCTTTCGAACGGTGATCACTGTGGTGACGTTTGCTTAACGTGAGGGTCTAACTGTACTGAATGAATTGAAGTTCAACCCAAGCTGAAAACTTGGATTAGCAACCAAATTTAAAAGCCATCATGCGAGAAAATGATTCCTCTGGAGTTCTGGAAATGTGTTGCCAAGTTACGGGACTGTAGAACAGGACATAGCTAATTTGACTGCTGTGGGATAAAAAAGCACGTTCAAATATAAGGAGTATTGATTAGGGTTAACAGATGTCCCCGTTTCCCGGGGACAGTCCCCGGATTTGTGAATAAGTCCCCGGACAAATTCCATCCCCAGAATGTCCCCAGATTTCATCTAATGTCCCCGGGAAATGCAACAACGGCAGTCTCAGCAGCCCGGAGCAGTTGGCTCTGGCTGGCTTCAGGAGCTGCTCAGAAGTCCCCATGTGATGGTGGTGCAGGGGCTCTAAGATGCAGCTTCCGGGCTGCCTCCACCTTCCCTGGCCCCAGCAACTAAGTTGTGAAGGGAGGCTTCATGCTGCCTATTGGAGCAGCCTCACAACTCCTACTTGCATGCAAGCAGGAGCGGCGTGGGGATCTCTCAACTGTGAAGGGAGACTTCACACTGTATCAGGGCTTGCGTGCAAGCAGGAGTGGGCAGGGATCTCTCAGATAGGCAACGGGAAGCCTCCCTTCCCAGCTGAGGGATCCCTGCCCCCTCCTGCTTACACGCAAGTAGGAGTTGGGATGGGGCTGCTCCAAAAGGCAGTGTGAAACCTCCCTTCCTTCTGCCACCGCCATCGCTGCAGCATCAACATCCCGAACGTGTAGTATTTGTTACAGGTAGGTAGCCGTGTTGGTCTGCCGCAGTCGAAACAAAATAAAATAAAAATAAAAATAATAAAAATCCTTCCAGTAGCACCTTAGAGACCAACTAAGTTAGTTATTGGTATGAGCTTTTGTGTGCATGCACACTTCTTATTTATTTATTTATTTATTTTGTCCCCGGATTCATTGAAAAAAATCTGGTAACCTTAGTACTGATGGGCATTAAAAACAAAACAAAACAAATTCCCCCCTCACTGCAAAACCAATTCCTCTTGTCCAGCAGCTTTCCCCCTGGAGGAAACCGTTCTTTAGCATCCCATTGAAACAAATTGCAACCAGATTTTCTATGGATTGCTGTTAGTTCCGATTTAGAGCTAAAGAGCAGCTCTCCTCTGGGTAAGGAGAGGGACAAGGGGGAAAACCACTCAGACCCCTGCCTAGAAAGTGCAGGTCAAGCGGAAAACTGTTCGGACCCGTGCTTTCGGACCTGCAACCTCATTGGCCAGCCCAGGGACATGCACCCCTCTGCTGGCAAGGGAGAACCGCCCCCCCTTGCCTCCCCACAGTTCTAGAAGGCAGAGCACTCACCAGGAAAACACAGCAGCCCTCGCAAAGCAGCTTGGGTCTGGCAGGGCACTGCATAAGAACGCAACAGCCATGCACCCTTCGAATCATTTCAGATTCAAGATCAATTTGCATTCTTCCATCCCACTTGAAAACAAAGAAAAGGAAAACAGCGCTGCTCACGTGGTATTCTATTCCTCGTGCGAGACACTCAGGGCCTTTGCAAACTCTTAAATGGAGGTTTTAGAAAGACTGAACCCATTAAAAAATGCACCTGGGGCCACCACCTCTGCAGCCCCCCAGGCTATGCCCTTGACCCTTTCTGTTTTTTTATTTACTTATAAGCAGCAGCCATATTCCATTTTCATGATGGTTCCTTACCTAACAATTTCCACATCTTATGTGATTTTTTCACACAACACAAAAGCCACTGCTGGGAAACGAGCATAATCTGGCAGATGTTTCGCACTTGTTTCCATGTTATTTTCTTACAAAATTTAACAATAAAAACACAAAACATAACAATTAAAAACAAACTCTCTTTTCCATTCCCAATTTTAAATTACTTATTTTCTGGACTTCCTCATACCTCCCTCTTTTGTATTCCAATCTGCATTATTTGTCCAGCAGTTTCTTTTCCACTTTTTAAACCCAATCTTTAATTTAATAAAATATTAAAATATATAACTTCAACTTTTTTAAACATAATCCTTGTTCTTAATGTCATATACCTTTAAATTTTTCCCTTTTATTATCAAATTTCCATTTCTTTAAACATCTTTAATCTTGATCTTT